TGTTTTCTCCCTAAACAGGAGTCATTATTTGTCAATTTAAACCTAGACAGTTTGTTCGGGCAAAATGAAGGCATGGTAGTGTTAATTCGATCTAAATTGTGTTTTGTCAGTGATGTGTATTTATTCATTTGTGGCATAAATCTATCCAACAGAGGGCAGCCTGTGTATTTTCTTTTCCGTTTCTTGTAAGGGCCCCTTTAACCTGCAGTAAATTCTAAAAATATGGTTATCACTCGTTAACTCACAGTTTAGCACACATATAACATAACTACAGTACATTTTATGAAACTACATTTTTTTAAAAGAGTCTAAGGATCTCGCATGGGCGTGTGTGTATATATACTGCATGGCGGGCAGTCTTGTGCGAAAGAAGTTCAATATACATACTTGGCTTTTCATTACTCTGTCTTCCACGTGATACCACCTGCCTCTGAGTGCCCACTCATGTCAGTGGGATATTTTCTTCACTGTTCATGCTTGAGTCTCAGTTTGCAAGATGCAGGTACAGTACTTAAAAAAGGTATGGCCTGGTGTTAATGCCGTACGCTCAGACCCAGATTCAAACATTTAAGTTGTTAATGCACAATGATAGCAGCAGTCGTAGGTACCTGGGAAGGCATTTTGATGACTGTGTCTTAGGAAACTAAAAAAAAAACAATGACTTCTGGAACATTCGAAACGTCTTTAGTTGTATGTTATAAACGATCAATAATGACGTCCAACCGTAATGTTTGGAAACTCTTGCAACGATTTTGCTCAGTGAACTATGCAGTGGTCTACTGCATAGTTCACAGTGACCCTGCACAGTAGCCACCTCCGAACATATCGATACGCAATAGTCATTCTCCTCTACCTTGCATCCAGATATCCAACCGCTACTTGACAACATTTCCTCATATGATCAGATCGAAACATCTCCGTTTGTTCATTGAAATTCAATAATTTCCCCTCTCCTCTGCATCTATCCCCCCTTCAAAACGAATCCTCAAATGTGGTGTTTCATACCGAGATAAAACCGATGGGCATTATTCTTTCTGTTCCTTAACATTTTTCCAAACAAGCTCAAATCCTGCTTTTGAATGCGTGCTTGAAATTTTACATTTTTGTAGATGTGATTCAGGAGGGAAGCTCATTGAAACAAAAAAACAATAACATCTGCATTGGACAAATGGAAAACACCTGGGATCATAAGGTTGTCAAATTATGTTTGGCTGTCAAAATATATTTATATTCGACACAGTCACTAAGGGGGGGGGGGGAGGAGGACGTGAGTGACATCATACATGTTTTTCGTTCACGATTCCATTTGAAATGTCATGAGGCCTGATGACGTTGGCTGTAGTGATCATAGATAGTGCTTTAAAATGTAATAAGCTAATCAGGGAAACAGCAGGTGTTCACCAAGGAAGTGAATCACCGGCTCAACTAATTGAATCGGGGTGATGGAAGTGGGTTCACCATGGGCGATGGAAGCTGGTTCGTCGGGTTGAAACGTTCGCGGATTTAACGTGTGTATTGAATCACCAAGATTCGTGCTCATTAGCGATAACACACTAATTCGTTCCAAAAACATAATTTTCACCCCCAAAGTGTCTATTTGCACTCAGCACAACTCGCCAATATATAATACAGCCACTAAATATGACCGAGGTTTCTATTTCAATATGATGTACGGTTCTATTTGGATGGACAATCAGTCATTTCTCTGCCAATACATTTCGGGATGTTGCCCCAAAACACAAAAAAACCCCTTTAGCGTGTGCCGCACCCGCCCTTTATACATTAAGGAAATAAAACCGGTTCAGGTCAATTGCTTGGAACAAAACATTCAAAAAAAGAAAGTGCTTATATGACGCGGAGTTGTGATTCTCAACAGTTTGAGAAACACATCATTTAAACCCGCGGAGTCGGTTCACCGGAGTAAGCGACATGGAGAGAACGCGTCCGAGAGGACGATGTCCATGGAGACGGAGCCGAGAGACCATTCAGTTCGTGAGCAGGAGTGAGATGGACCGTGAGGGATGGTGACGGATTGGGAAGTGGGGGGGGGGTGCGGAGCTTCATCCAGCAGTGGATAGACAAGGGCCGATGATCATGAATCCGGTGAGTGATAATATATGAACCATTCTCGAGCCACCACAAAGACAAATATCCCGCGTACAGCTCTGCCAGACTGTTGGGACACCAATGTAGGTCGGCACGGCACGCGAGGGGGTGGGTGGCCAGTACCACGCCCGGCCGCCTTTGTCTCCCCAGCGGTGATGTTTATTACACACCGCACCAGGTACTCATTCGAGGCTGAGTCGACCTAGGGGAGGCCCAGGTCCGGTTCGGATAATCGTCCCCGGGTTCGCAGCGCAGCGCGCGAACCGTTCCAACCCACGCCACCCCAACACACACAGAGACACGCACGCCTCCTATCGGTCCACACCGACCAGAGGTGGCCAAAGTCCGGTGGGCATCCAACAACCCCTGTAATAACCGGGACCACGGGCCGGGGAGAATTTCATCCACTAATAACCCCAGGCAGCGCGTCATATCCACGTGGAATTGGTGCGGAATAGGAGAGACGTGCGCACTGTGTTTCTCAACTCGCACCCACAGGCGTGGGCGCGTTTCTGGATGAGTGATCCCCCCACCGCCTACATCCCCCCCACCCACCACCACCACTCCATCGCCCCCCACCCACCACCACCACTCCATCGCCCCCCACCCACCACTCCATCGCCCCCTCCCACCACCACCACTCCATCACCCCCCACCCACCACTCCATCGCCCCCCACCCACCACTCCATCGCCCCCCTCCCACCACCACCACTCCATCGCCCCCCACCCACCACTCCATCGCCCCCTCCCACCACCACCACTCCATCGCCCCCCACCCACCACTCCATCGCCCCCCACCCACCACCACTCCATCGCCCCCTCCCACCACCACCACTCCATCGCCCCCCACCCACCACTACCACTCCATCGCCCCCCACCCACCACCACCACTCCATCGCCCCCCTCCCACCACTCCATCGCCCCCCACCCACCAGCGTTTGAAGGCGGCGATCCTTCTTCTTCCCTCTCTCTCTCGAACCCCAGCGGCATCCCCCTAACCCACCTACCCACTCCCCTCCCACGAGACCTTATTTACGTCATTCCGTACGTAGGCAGACGCGGCTGTTGACGACTTTCATTGAGGTTATTCGTCGAGGCAACGCAGGGGGACTCGCACACGCCGCGCAATCTCTCGCACAGACCCTGGGTGGCTCTCCCTCTCGCACAGACTCAGGGTCTCTCTCGCACAGACTCTGGGTGTCTCTCTCCCTCTCGCACAGACTCTGGGTGTCTCTCCCTCTCACACAGACTCTGGGTGTCTCTCCCTCTCACACAGACTCTGGGTCTCTCTCGCACAGACTCTGGGTGTCTCTCCCTCTCGCACAGACTCTGGGTGTCTCTCCCTCTCACACAGACTCTGGGTGTCTCTCCCTCTCGCACATACTCTGGGTGTCTCTCCCTCTCGCACAGACTCTGGGTGTCTCTCCCTCTCGCACAGACTCTCGGTGTCTCTCCCTCTCACACAGACTCTGGGTGTCTCTCGCACAGACTCTGGGTGTCTCTCTCCCTCTCGCACAGACTCTCGGTGTCTCTCCCTCTCGCACAGACTCTGGGTGTCTCTCCCTCTCGCACAGACTCTGGGTGTCTCTCCCACTCGCACAGACTCTGGGTGTCTCTCCCTCTCGCACAGACTCTGGGTGTCTCTCCCTCTCGCACAGACTCTGGGTGTCTCTCCCTCTCACACAGACTCTGGGTCTCGCTCGCACAGACTCTGGGTGTCTCTCCCTCTCACACAGACTCAGGGTCTCTCTCGCACAGACTCTGGGTGTCTCTCTCCCTCTCGCACAGACTCTGGGTGTTTCTCTCTCTCGCACAGACTCTGGGTGTCTCTCCCTCTCACACAGACTCTGGGTGTCTCTCCCTCTCAAACAGACTCTGGGTGTCTCTCACACAGACTCTGGGTGTCTCTCCCTCTCACACAGACTCTGGGTGTCTCTCCCTCTCACACAGACTCTGGGTGTCTCTCCCTCTCGCACAGACTCTGGGTGTCTCTCGCACAGACTCTGGGTGTCTCTCGCACAGACTCTGGGTGTCTCTCCCTCTCGCACAGACTCTGGGTGTCTCTCGCACAGACTCTGGGTGTCTCTCGCACAGACTCTGGGTGTCTCTCCCGCTCGCACAGACTCTGGGTGTCTCTCCCTCTCTCCCAGTCCCTGGGTGTCTCTCGCACAGACTCTGGGTGTCTCTCGCACAGACTCTGGGTGTCTCTCTCTCTCTCTCACACAGACTCTGGGTGTCTCTCCCTCTCGCATAGACTCTGGGTGTCTCTCCCTCTCACACAGACTCTGGGTGTCTCTCCCTCTCGCACAGACTCTGGGTGTCTCTCCCTCTCACACAGACTCTGGGTGTCTCTCCCTCTCACACAGACTCTGGGTGTCTCTCCCTCTCAAACAGACTCTGGGTGTCTCTCCCTCTCGCACAGACTCTGGGTGTCTCTCGCACAGACTCTGGGTGTCTCTCGCACAGACTCTGGGTGTCTCTCCCTCTCGCACAGACTCTGGGTGTCTCTCGCACAGACTCTGGGTGTCTCTCGCACAGACTCTGGGTGTCTCTCCCGCTCGCACAGACTCTGGGTGTCTCTCCCTCTCGCACAGACCCTGGGTGTCTCTCGCACAGACTCTGGGTGTCTCTCGCACAGACTCTGGGTGTCTCTCTCTCTCTCTCACACAGACTCTGGGTGTCTCTCCCTCTCGCATAGACTCTGGGTGTCTCTCCCTCTCACACAGACTCTGGGTGTCTCTCCCTCTCGCACAGACTCTGGGTGTCTCTCCCTCTCACACAGACTCTGGGTGTCTCTCCCTCTCACACAGACTCTGGGTGTCTCTCCCTCTCACACAGACTCTGGGTGTCTCTCCCTCTCACACAGACTCTGGGTGTCTCTCCCTCTCACACAGACTCTGGGTGTCTCTCCCTCTCACACAGACTCTGGGTGTCTCTCCCTCTCGCACAGACTCTGGGTGTCTCGCACCAGACTCACCACACACACGCGCTCCTCCTGCTCTCGCTCGCGTCCTCACCGAGCTAAACACAGCATCAGCAGCAGCAAAATCAGCAGCAGCAGCATCAGCAGCAGCAACATAGCAGCAGCATCAGCAGCAGCAACATCAGCAGCAGCATCAGCAGCCCCGTGCGGACAGCCAGAGGCACGATGCTTGAGGTGTCCGTCTCCAAGTCCAGCCTCGGTGAGCGAAGTCGCACACACACGACGATGATGTTGACGACCAAGATGATGATCGTCAGGATGATGATGGTCGAGATCGTAATGAATTTGGTGGTCATGATGGTAATGACAATTATAGTGATGGTAATGATGCTGGTCATGATTGTCATGGTGATGATCGAGATGCTGATGATTTGTGTGGTCATAATGATAGTAGTCATGATGATTCTGGTGATGACGATGATGTTTGTCTTGATGAGTGTTTGTCTTGATGAGCGTTGATGAATGATGCTGATAATTATCATCATCATGACCAACATGATGTCGATGAATGAAAAGCATGCCGTACGTTGATGTCTAAGCACGTACGTCTAACACACACACACTGTAGAATACAATTTGAAATTTGCCAACATGTAAGGGGCGTTTTCTATATATAAAAAAAACATTTGCTGGGTAGCGTCAGTGGGCAGGAGCCGTGCATCATCAGCAATAACCGAGCGTGCGCACAGCGGATGTGCGCTGCTCCGTCTGTTATCGATCGCTACACTTGGTGTATCGTCGTCAGAATACGCCCGGGGTGCAGCAGACGTGCGCGTGTGTCTGAGTGTCGCTTTGATTCCACAGCAAATCACGGGGCGAAGGAAGGGCCACGGCTTTTTTGTGTTGTATCCCTCTTGGCAAGTGCGGCACTGTACCGTGTTCGTGCAATAATTTCATTCGTAAAATATCACGCGTTAACGCATCGTGTATACATTTACTCTGAGCGCTGTCGCCAACAAATGACGTTCAAACGCACCGTCAGACTCTTCGTTTGTGTTTTGTTTTTTGAGGGGGGGGGGGGGGGGTCCTGAATTTGAGAGACAACGATATTGCATGTGAATGACGTGGATAATTCATGTGCACCGGTGGAAAATGAGCGATGGAGGACACCGGTCTGAATATTTCATGACAACCTTAATGCAATTAAATATTAACGCCTATACATTCGCATACTGTATCAGACAATGGTGCGTGTCTTCTCAATTAATACAGGTATATACTCGTATTATTTATAAACTATAAGTCCAATGAAAGTGACGTCTAGCAAACCTATTGATATATGAGTACACGTTTATATAACAAATGCATGCGGTAACCAGTGATTGCAAATTTCGTTACTTAAATGGAATAGTTTTTCTTTCATGTACGTTACATTTTTGTATGTATCCCGTGAGATATATAGTATCGGACAGCTTGCTTTCTAGAAATAGCAGCAGCATCGGATGTAAAATGGGGGGGGGGGGGGGAATAAAGGTTGTATTCTCACGATATGCCACATTCTGCGAAATGATTATTTATTGAGGGCTCGGCGTGATGTCACGACGTCTTAGCAGGCCGACCTAATGCAGAGGCTCGAACAATCCCGTCTCTGATGATCGACTAATCGGGATTAAGCATCTCCCCTCTATTATGTACTGTGCAATCATTACCCCTGGTGTCAAGTAAAACATGTTACCAATCGTATGGTCACGAATACAGTAATGTGCTATTCATGACCATACGGTTGATAAGATATATTCTGCTCTTGCGTATGGTATAATGTAGCGAAATGCCAATGTCGAGATCTGCTAGCCACGACGAGAGGGCTTCACGACAAAATAAGATAGATAAGCTGACTCTGCGGCTCCCTGTTATATCCATCATTCCAAATAAAAAATAAAAGTATTCTTACACAACCCATCGGGCCCACGGCCTCTGGGAGTACATCACTTCATAAAATGCTAAAAGATTTAGCATCTGTTATGTAACATGCAGTGCAATGATTGCGTATAATATAAAATACATTATTTTATAAAGTGTACGCTCATGCTTAGTGGTAATTTAAATAACATTTTCAAATAAGACATTTTGCTGGAAAGCTATGACTGTTTTTTTTGTTTTTATCACGTTGGGCTAAACACTATTTTACCAGATACACCCTCAAAAACATTGTGCCTGAGGACTGTTTCAGGAGGGTCCAGCTGTATATATTCCTATTACTCGTACACCGACATGCGTAGATCATTATCATGCATCCTGAGTGGTTTATTCTACCAGTTTAGAAACATTTTAATCCCTCATCAGCCTTCCAAGAAGCTAACGATTCTAATAGCATTTGCCTAAGCAAGCAAATCGTGGGCTGGTTTTCAGTCTCATCAACGGCATGTGGCTTATATTCTTGGTTCTTTCGGTAAAGTCACGTAGAAGGGAAACAATAAAATAATAAAATAATGGCTTGTTAAACAATGCTGGCTAGCCTGATGGTATATATAAAAGCAATACATGAACGCTATGGGGCCCATTGAACAGATTACAGAAATGCAATATAGCACATCATTTATTACAGCAAAGCTGTTGCGGTGGATTATGAGTATGACAATGAAAAGAATGAGCACAACGTGGTCTCTTTCACCACGTAAAATGCATGAACATTTTAGTGACGCAGCCAATGAAGGTTCAGGTCGAATGTTTTCATGAGAATCTGGCTAAGTAGGTTTTAACGTCCCGAGTCTCAACAGCAGAATGGGCTCTAACAGGCCCCATGGTTCAATCTTGATTTGAAGCTTTTGTGACTGCAGGAATCCATTTTGGTAAATTCACGTAGGTGGAAAAATAAAAGAGAATACAAATAATAATCCAGCAGTGGAACTGCTGCTGGATTATTTTTTTTCCGCCTGACGACGGCCGCTTGTGTTGCGATTGAAACGTCGTGATATATTCTTTTTTATTTTGTTTTATTTTTCTACCTACGTGACTTTACCGAAAGAACCAAAGAGTAAGGCCCCATGGTGTTTAAGGAAGGCACTTGGCGATGACATGAGACGACCGTGCAGCATTTGTTTAACAAGTGACACTGCTGATGAGACAGATCGGTGTTCTTCAAGAATTTTCAGAGTGGACCCACTTTCGCCGATAAGACATCAGTGTGAGGGCTGCCACACATTTGGAGCCATTGTGTTGGACAGCACGATTGGGTGTTTTCACATGTTGTATATTATCGAGGGCCGCAAGTTAGGGGCCGCCAGTGGCCCGCGGGCCTTGCAATGGAGAACACGAAGACAGATAAAGAAATTTTAAAGCTGTTCAAAAGTTTGCTAAAAAAATACTGTTTCGATGCATTGAACTGTGGAAGGCACCTAGGTGAATGGACAAACATTTTGCTTTATTTTTACGTGGTGAATGATAACAAAATTACAATCTTATGCCACCACCAATATCAAACAATACATTCAATTAATAAGCGATTTTATATGTGGTAGAACATTTGATCACCTGCTGAAAACTCGCATAGAGGGATAAAACTAAAAATCCGTGCAGATCAACTGCCTACTTGCCATGGAGAATTGTGGTCACTGCTGTTACCCACACATCTTGATCTCAGGGTGACTAGCCCCGTGTCCCGAGTGTTGGCTTACAGCGTGTGCCGCCGCACCACATAACAAAGTGGCATTGCTAGAGAATGCACACAGGGTCTCGCGCAAGCAAGCGTCAGCTCTCTACTGCTGAGCTATAGAATGCGAGCAATAGGCCTTGGCAAGGTAAGGTAAAAGGTAAAAACAACGAGCCTACCTCTACCCTACCTTCTACCCTTACCCCCTACAAATTACCCGATTACAGGGTAATTACTGGGGTACTACACATGAGCAAGGTTTATAACAGGTAAATGCTAGGTAGAGCACTTTATTCATTTATAGAAGACTCTCGATGATTCCAATTTTAAATGGAGGCCATGGACTGCGCCACGGAGCTTTTAGCGAGCGGTAAACAAGGCATTTACCGGGTAATACTTCGCGCTACCTTTACCCTACCAGGTAATTATTCTGCGCTACCTTTACCCTACCCTTTACCTTACCCCTTGGCATGTCGACACCTTGACCCTTTACCTTTACCCTTTTACCCGGTAAAAAGGGTAAATTACCTTACCTTGCCGAGGCCTAGCAATGAATATTAGCCGATGGAATACTGTACTTGAAAATAATTTTGATAAACTAAATCGGTACCTGTATCTTAATATTGGTGTATCATGTATGTGCCTCATCCCCTTCTTTTACAGACGTGTCACCAATTGTGCTGGCACTTGTTGGCGTCACGCTGTTGGTTGTGACACTCTCAGCCTCGGCATACGCGTGGATCTGTTGCCTGGGTAAAACCAGGAGAGCAAGCAAATCATCACCCATTAAACTTGCTCACATTTTAAAGGGCATAAATGTCTACTCTGAAGAAGTGGGCGAAGTGAAGTGCTATGAGAACAAACACGAGGTAGAACCCTTCAAGGACAACCAAAATAGGAGCCTAAAGCCACCCGTCATGGTTCAAAATGTAACACTAGCCCAGTCCGGCAATCTCACACTGGCCAGCCCCGATGGCAACCAAAACACAATCCGCAGCACACCCGGACTCGAACTGGGCTCGCCGCAAAACCCATCCTGTCGCTCGTTCAGCGAGCAGAGCTCTCCGGCAAGTCGCACCGACTGCGACGGGAGAGGCGCTGAAGATCTGTCGTCGAGCAAGAGCCCTTCCCCGTTCTCTCTTGACGGTGAAGACGTCCACCTGGGCACACTCCTCTTTGCCGTCGAGTACAATTTCCAAAAGCAGGCATTTGTGGTCACAATACGGGAGGCGCGCAGTCTCCCCGTAATGGACGATCAGACGGGCAGCTCTGACCCATATGTGAAAATGACCATCTTGCCTGATAAGAAGCACAAGATCAAAACACGAGTGCTCAGGAGAACGCTGGATCCCATGTTCGACGAAACGTTTACCTTCTATGGCATTGCCTACAATCAGCTCCAGAGTCTCGTCTTGCACTTTCTCGTTCTGAGCTTTGATAGATTCTCCCGAGATGACGTTATTGGTGAGGTGATGGTGCCCTTGGCTGGAATTGATTTGAGTCCCGACAAGGTCTTTTTGAGCCGAGACATCACAAAGAGAAATGTACAGGTGAGGTAATTGTTTTTCACACGAGCGGAGAGCTGGTAACTCACATTTTTTTAAATAGGATATGGCAAAACGATGTTATACTCATGATTTAAAACTTTATTCATTTCCTGGCATTTAAACTCGGCAAAAAGCTCTGCACATGGCCTACACTTTTTGAAATAAGGATTGAGCATTATAAAATTATAATATTGTGTTAGAGGATTAGATCATACAGAACAAAATAAATATATTGGACGATTTTATGAATAGGATCTTGTTTTTACCTGAATGTTACGTGCTTATGTATTCAAATTAATATATTAATTTATAATATATTCATTTATATTACCCTTTATATGTTAGGCAATCTTTTTTGTTACACAGTTCATATTACACAAATGAAATGAGTTGCACTGGTCCCGCATTCTGCCAAAAATTGCGATGTGAAGTTTACCATGGCACGGATGATTTACTCTGTTTACACTCAAGTGAAAAAAAAATCCCATATAAATCACCATGCTCGGTTAAGTGAGAACAGTATATCATAATAAATGTATTTATGCTTTCCAATAACTATTACTATTGGTGTAGTGCCGTGTTTATAATAATACATTGACAAAAGACTGAAAGGCCTTAAAATAACGTTCCAATTATGAAGTACTTAAAAATCTTCTTTGGTTCTTTCGGTAAAGTCACGTAGAATGAGAATAAAATAATACATTGATAAAATAAAATAACACAATAATATTCTCACGACGTTTCGGCCACAACACAAGCGGCCTTCAGCGCTGTCCTCCAGACAGTTTTGTCCCCTTCACCTGATGAAGGCCGCTTGTGTTGTGGCCGAAACGTCGTGAGAATATTATTGTGTTATTTTATTTTATCAATGTATTATTTTATTCTCATTCTACGTGACTTTACCGAAAGAACCAAAGAAGATGAATCCTTGCAGTCACGAAAGCTTTAAATCGGTACTTAAAAATGTTAAATGCTTTTAAATAAGGTGTTCCATCAAACACACTTGAAACACATTTAATGCATTGTATGCGACTAATGAGTCCCATAATTTATTTTTATCACAATCTTCATCAACCTCACCACCTTTATATTAATCACCAGGTATTATATATTCAGTGTTGGTTAAAGCCCTTTCCTATGCAAACACCATTGCATTGGGTGCTCATTAGCTGCAACATTTTCTTTATATATAAACATGACTTTTCTATTATGATTCAAATATAACTTAACAGCCCTTTCACTGATGCTCACCCTGGATTATATCCAATACCATGTTCATAAATGTAATTGATCATTATCACGTTTGTAAAAACAAAAACATGATCAATTTAATAAATAGCTAAAAACCATTTAGCTGGATGATGATGATGATGACAAAGCAGGGACATTAACTAAATTTGTACTGCTTTAATGATTAATGGTGTCCAAAACACAGCATTTCAGGATCAAAATTGGATAAAATATGTTATAATGCCTGCTTTCGTTCCGAATTCAATCACGATGTATAATATTACTTTATTAAGTTAGTCCAGTAGGAGGTAACGCAGTGACATGTAGTCGGTGTTATACTTCTGCATACTGACATGGTGCAGCTAAGATCCTCGAATTGAACTCCAGATACCCACATGCAATTGCATCTGGTTTTCGAGTAGACTGAATTTGTAAGCGAATGGTTTTCCTGTACAATAAATTAGTTATGTAAAGGTTACAATTTGGGAACAATAGCTGCACAAAATATATTATTTTTTTGTTAAATCTACTATGGCAACCTCTTTGAGTGTTAAAGGTAGAAATATTAATTGTTACTCGATACATATATTATAATTCTTACAGAAAGCAACTCTATCGACAACATGACATCATGAAGGAATGCAATATAGTGAAAGAGCCTCGCAGAAGAGGCAATGAAAATAGCGTCACAGTACCATATTTTGGAGTTGTTCTGTGCCATTTGACTTGGTTATCTTAGAGCACAATCGTGATGCATTATAATCGATGGTGAAATTCACTAAACATCATATATAGAGTATATTATATATTTTAAAATGCTCTAGTTATTAGAGTAATTGACATCCGTCTCTATATCACGATGACGTTTCTCAATAGCAATCGCTTTTCGTTTGTTGCATTTTTACGTTTTGTTTAGAAATCGGTGGGCCGCGGAGAGATCCTGGTCTCGCTGTGTTACCACCCAGCGGCGAGCAGACTAACTGTGGTTGTGCTGAAGGCAAGGCACCTTCCAAAAACAGACATCGTCGGTCTCTCAGGTATGGCCGCTCAAAACCTCAAAAGTCACAACCAGACGAATGGCAACACCCTTATAATAGCATTAATACATTGCTGTGTTTTTTTTTAATGAACAACAAAAATGCAGTTTTAAAATTAGCACGTATAACATTTTAAACTCTGACTTTTATGTGAAAATTATCAGATCACCAAACCACACTGAACACGCCTTCACTTGTTAGATCTTCAGAAGCACAGTTGAGCCTGGTTGGCACAAATAATACCGGGCATGGGAGGCTTCGTCTGTGAAGGTGGCCGGGAGATGGCAGTAAAGGAATGGATTAACAAATCTATCTTGTGCTGAGCTTTGAGTGTTCTCCTGCGGTGTATTTAGTTTCGTTTTCTCCGAGGACTCCGGTGTTCTCCCACATGCCAGACAAAAAGTAGAATTGGCCAAGCGTCGTAACAGTATGGGCTGCTCATGCGAAACAGTCTTGAGACTAAGCGAGGCTTTCCTGGGTAAAGGGAACATGCAATTTATACATCCTATATGTAATTCCATGCCCCCCCCTCCCCTTCCCTCTCTACATATCTAAGTTTGTAAGTATAAATTTTGGTCTGAGGTTGACTCAGTCCCTAGTCTGGCATGCATAGATAACATAAGCATCAAAAATTATTTAACAACGTGGTATGTGCGCCATTATTATAGTGCAAGCTAATTATGAAGGCGCTATGTTTCATAGATGGTATAATCTGGCAGTAGGGGACAATGTAACCACGTGGTATTCCAACATGAATACATTTGTGAGTCCATTGTAAAATCTAGTAGATATATCCGTTCATATCGGCACACATGGTCTACTCTCTTTTTAAACAATGTCACTGGATCTTTAACATCCACTCTGAAGTAGATACCAGATATACGGTATTAACCAGGGCAGCCACTGGACTCGAACTGGGAACCTTTGTAACGAGTGTGAAATGCACTACCACTCGTCAATATTACCAATCCCCAAAAGTGTAACACTTTATTGGAACTAAACGGGTGCGTGCCATGTGGCATGGGTGTTTCCTAAGAGAGAAATATGGAATTGTTGGCATTAGCTCAAGACCACCAGTAGAGATCAGCACAGCCCATACTTAAAAGTGGAGATATTTTAAGTAATGGAACATGCTGACCTCTTACACACGCATCGAACGTAAACATGATATACACCTTATGATAGCTGCACTAAATGAGAATGGTATTTAAAAATGTGTCTTTTGGCGAGGTAGTGAATGTTGTCTTTGTGAAAAATGTCACTAAACATTGGAGAACATGCATCTATAAAATCTAGAAATCTAAATCCCCAATGCAAACTTTTTTATATAATTTTGAGTTTACCCTAACTTGTACAGTGTATTTAACAAGACTTTCAAGCTAAATAAAGTCGAGGTTTTTCTTCAGAATGTGTTACTTTTACAGTATTTGTATCCATAAAATTAATAGACTCGGAGTTTTAAAAAATCTTGCATTAGGTTTACCATAAACTGGTATTTTGGTAATTTAAAAAAAGCGATTTATATTTCCAGACAAATCATGCACAAAGCCTACAAATGCAATGATATCTAAAGACACAGTACGAGTATGAGGAGAAGAGAGGTCAAGTTTAGAGGTCGTTAGTGTGAAGAGCGACTGGCATCGGAATTAGAAGCGTTGTAAGAGTGAAAAACACAACATAAGGTGTAGTATAGTGAAAGTGAAAATTAAAGTGAAAGCATTGATTGCCTGCTCAAACACTAGGTGGTACAACCTTCCAACTCTGAGCCAATGGTAGAACTTTTACCTTTCTATAGTTGGGTCAATAACCTTCATTGAACAAAGGAATATATACAGGAGGCGAATTATATGCATGCAATCTTTTTGTCCTGATAACCAGCAAATGTTGTTCACATAAGTTTTATGTGTACCAGGAGGCAAAGCATGCACAACAAGTAGTATTTGTCCTCAATGGGGCCAGACTCTCAATGACAATAGAAACGGTTGTCTTGTAGAGCTTGGAAACAATAGAATCCACTGACCTCTCCCAAATGACTTCATTCACTATTCATTACCAAAGACATGCTCATGACCATGTAATCACAAGTACTAATTTTACTCCTCTCACCGCTGCATCATTCATAAAATGCAGTTACCATCACCTCATGTCACCTCTTTCCAGTTCTTAAGTCTTTTTTCTGCTCCACTAGGAATCTAACTTTTCCACTTCTCTGCTCCTACATTCAGTTTTTTTTTAATCCCTCTTCTATGAATGTAAAGAAGCCCTCTGTTCAGCACGATAATGCCACCTTGTACACTGCTGTAAAAGCCCCATCTGTGAGTGTGGTTACATTGCTCAATTTTGCAGAAGGAGAGAGAGCCATGGGTTGAAGGTTATGTTTGTGTCTGTTATTCCCCCCCCACCGTAGACCCATACGTGAAGGTGAACATATACAGTGGGAAACGACGGTTCGCCAAGAAGAAGACGCACGTCAAGAAGTGCACGCTGAACCCCGTCTTCAACGAGTCGTTTGTGTTTGAGCTGCCCGAGGAAGGCCTTTCTGACCTGGCCGTCGAGCTCACAGTGGTGGACTTTGACCGCACCACCAAGGACGAGGTGATTGGGAGGCTGGCCCTGGGGCCTGGCACTGAGCACTGGCGCGAGGTTTGTGAGAATCCGCGCCGCCAGATCGCCAAGTGGCACCCGCTGAGCGAGTGCTGACCGCAGCGACAACTGGGCCCTCTGGAAGGCCACAGCAATCTGTAGCAGCGGTTTTGTTGATTTCATTTTATTTGCATATCTATGTGTATATATTATTGAGAGTTGCATCAAAATTTAATGGGCTGGAAATGGAAACTTTTGAGCCACTTTATAGATAGAAACGAGGTCGTGGAGACCAGGTTTTAGGCCACTGGGTACACTAAATGTGTTTTTATATTTTACTGAACATCACTGTGGATCAATAATGAGTAAAGTTTAGCTTATAATAGTTTTAGCAGTCCATTAAAAATGTTATGCCTTTATACATTTCAGCTTAAGAGGCAACATAAAAATCCTCTAAATTTTTCTGGCCTGGAAAATTGACGTTGCGTTATTTCCAAATTTAATATTTGACATTTCACGCATAGATATATTCCACACATCTTGAAACATATGCCATTTTGCAATACCATTAAAAAGGACAAATATTTGACTAAATAGTGGAGCATCATTGTCTCTGTCACGAAAATAATTTGATGACATAACGAAACAAACTCATATTGATCCACAGAAGTAGACTACAAGTGGATCTGGAATTGGGTTTAGTTTCATACCCCCTGATTATGAAATAAATGGCCTTGTTTTACACGGCTTAAGAGTTCTAACCATGTATTATTATTCCTCGTATACCTCGTTTGCCATTTTCTGAAAATTGGGGGCCTAAGTTATCAATCATTTCACTTGGTCACCTGATAAGTAAAGTCCCACTCGCATCTGTTTTGGAAACATCTCCTAACCATATAAAATCACATGTTCATGCCCCTGATGTATTTATTGCTGTAGGTGTCATTTGAATGTGTTACTTAATAAGTGTTTATATTCGCAGCCACTGTCAAATGTAAATGTGGCAAAAAAAAACTTGTAAATAACCTGTGGCTAAACTTTCGATTGGCACGAGACAATGCGATCAGAATCGTTGTAAGATTTACATGAACCTGGGGGAAAGTAATATTGATAGAATACACGAATGCAATTTTAAACAGTGCACAGTATAATAATAATAGTAATTTAATTGGGGCACCATGGTGACGAGATGTTAGCTGCCTCGCCTGGTATACAGGAGGTTGTGGGTTCGATCCCGACCCTGACGCCTGCTGTATATTTTGAGTTTGCGTGTTCTCCCCATGGTCGTGTGGATTTTTCTCCGGGTACTCCGGTTTTTTCCTCCACATTTACAAACATGTGTTTAGAGTATTTGGCGACTATAAATTTCCACGTGATAAGCCAATTCGTTGAGCTATCATTTGTGGCCAGGTGACTTCTGAAAAAGAGCTATATAGCTCAGTCGGCCTTACTTATTAAAATAGTTTAGTTTTATAATATATTTTTTGTTTAGTTTTTACTTACGTTTAATTTGTTTAGTTTAGTTTGAATTATCTGGGGCAATTAATCCCTTCAGACTATAAGCATGGCTTGATGCACTTTCTTTCAGGAGTAAAAAAATACTCACACACGAGCAGTACCCTCACCTCCCAAAGACTTACACTTACCCACTCCTTCATTGTTACAAGCGGAATCAAACATGATGTCAACTTATTGATTATTGAACATTTCGTTTGGCCATACCTTTGCCTTTATAAGTATCGTTTTGCACAAATTCTAGACATTAGCGGGAAGTCGAAACTAAAGTTCATATCATCCACAATATAGAATGTGGAATTTTCCACAATCTATAATATTTTTTAACAGCATTCAGAATATATTAATACACTGCATACAAATACATCAGATGAATTCTCCAACAGCTGGATAAAAAATGAAATGGAATTTTGGCCTACACAATGAATAGCAACTACCATCTGGCTAAAACCAAAATCCTATTATATACATTGAAACAAACATGACTCATTATGCACATACATACATTAGTCCTAGATTACACATATTCATATGAAACGTGAGTGTGCATGTGTGTAGGCATCATGAAAACGACAGCTCATAATTTATCGCACAAATGTAATTTCGCAACATATATACCAGTATATATAATGTAGCACTTCGGCTCATTACAGTGTTCGATATGCCAGGTCGCCATGTATGTGGACCATGCAGACCCTGTCAGAGTGACAGCTTCTGTCCCACATCTGAATCAAGGCATGTCGTGTCAACTGAAACATGAATTTATTTATGCATCAATTTTATTTCGTTTTGGTGTCCTGCCTGCTTGTGCCACTCGTGTGCCTGTTCAGAAAATGCTGTGAATGTTTACATTTTCTCGTGCACTTCGGGGACAAATGTGCACCTTGCTGTATACAGTGCGTACTGCATTAAATCTGTTCTGCAAACGAATTAATGAACGGCATTCCTGTTGTGTACACCTTGTTATTTTGTGTTTTAAAGAGAAGGAGGATTCAAAATACAATGACTTAAGCATGCAGTCACTTGTTATATTCAGTGATTTTTATTTTATACAAAGTTATTGTCTTACTCCTAATACCATACACAGTATTTTGGCCATCTGTGCAGGATAGTGATATATTCTGTTTACACGGATCATGTTTTGAATGCTATATGATTAACAGACCCTACCGTGCATTAAAATATTCAAAATGTAAATATAAACGTGCTTTTTTACTTACGTTTATTGATTTGTATATAATTACTGCATACATTAAAAAATAAATGTTAACAAATGTGCTTGAGATTTTTTTTCATCTTTGTTTAAAAAAAAAATCTTTGAGCATTTTTACCCATCATTATTTTTTCTACAAAACTTAATAAATGAACCACCTTCGGTCAAAACATTGCCAACTGTTGCCGCCTTGGTGCAGCACTTGATAATTACACGACTTCTAACGCCTGTCAAATCAGAATAATTTAAGCTGTCAGTCGCAACCACTGGGATAATATTACAAAACACGAATATAGGGAGTGCAAAAGGGGTTCTCTGTTGGCTATAAAAGTGGGTGGGATTAAAATAAAGAGGTTTGCAAAAACCTCTTTGCCTGCTGGATGCTGTTGGAAAAAAATGTCTCTGGCACTACACCATTCTGATTCATCAATCTCCTTGTGCATTCCCTAATTGGGGTGAGGTTATGGCACAGCGGTTAGCAGGTAACCCAGCGACCCGCGTTTGATTCCCGGCCATGGCTGACAAAACTAATTATCGTTATCCGAACCGACGCAGGGCCCCCCCCCACCATCCCCATTTTCACCAACTCGCAGTGACCAGCGTGAGGAATTATGGTCAAACAATCTCCACCAAAGACAGCCTAGGGAAGCCTTCATCCAGCAGTGTCTGTCCATTGTTCGCTGAGCTGCAGTAGCTTCCAATTGATGAACGAATACACTAAGTGCGTGCCACAAATTAACCACAATAGCTTGCTGATCTCGTCAAGCAACATAAACCATAACACGAACTCCGGTCATCCTCGCAGCGTCTTTTGGCTGCGAGCCATCGAACAAAGATGGTCGCTGCATCGCGCGGCGCTTTCAGATGCGCTTCTGCGGGCCGTCTGGAACGCTCTTCCTTCCGATATTAGGAAGCCACTGGAGTGTGCACTTTTAAATCTCGATTGAAAACTAATTTCTTTAAAACTGCTATTTGTGTTTAGTTTGTTGTCTCCCCGCACCTCAGGATTAGCACGGTTGGCTACGTACGGTGCGAAAGAAATTCAACGTACCTTATTTACAAAATATTGTAAAGTATTATTTCTTAATTGCAGCATATTCAAGTGGTGCTCTTGCCATGTATGCACAGCATGAGCAATTGTTTCTAGATTTGAAGCTTTCGTGACTGCAAGGATTCATACTCTTTGGTTTTTTCGGTAAAGTCATGTAGGTAAAATAAAAGTTAAAATAAAAGAAAACAACTAAATTAAATCACGACGTTTCGGAGGCAACACAAGCTTCCGTCTTCAGGTGGAACAGTCACAGCAAGATAGCTGCATCAAGTGGGGAGCTCTGAGACCTCTCGAGCTTATATACAGGTTAAGGTGGGGGGGGAGGAGCCAAGCAGGGGGCGATGGACGATGATGGCCTGCGGGGCTAAGTTAATCCGTCTTTTGTTTTGTTGAGGGTTCGGGGGAAGCGGTGGTTCACTGCTTGGGGACAATGAAAAAATGGTAATAACCGGGAGGTTTGCATAGTACTTTGGTATCGGAGAAAACAATGTCATGAGAACCCACTGTGTTGAGACAATGATCAGCCACGGCCAAAGAATTAGTTTTGCCGTGTTTCAAATCTGATTTGCGCTCGCGAATTCGGTCAGAAATATGTCGTTTCGTCTCCCCGATATAGCAGTCAACGCAGATACAACTCAATTTGTAAACACCGGGGTACTGTAAGTCAGGAATGACATCCTTTTCGGATGGGACCAGATCACGCATTTTGTGTACTGTATTGAACCGAACCCGGATCTTGTGTTTGTTTAGAATTATGGAAATCTTTTTGTTAACGCCTGCTATGTATGGCACTGTGATGATTTTGATCGGAGTGTAAAGTGGTTGTTTCTGTATGGTAGGAGAAACAGCTTGGCGGATGGTATGGTCAGAGTAACCGTTCATCTTGAGGGCTAGATGTACATATTTTAACTCACTGGTCAGGTAGTGTTGGTCAGAAATGCAATGAGCTCTACGGTATAATGTTTTGATGAGATAATTCTTTTGAGCCGGTTGGTGGTGGGAATCAGACTTCAAGTAGGAATCTGTGTGGGTGGACTTCCTGTAAACAGAATGTCCCAAAGAGCCATCAGTCCTGCTCTCAAACAGAACATCCAAGAATGGCAGCTTGCCATCTTTCTCCACTTCCATGGTGAATTTGATGGATGGGTGTCTAGAATTGATGTGGTCTAGGAAATGGTTCAAAGCTGGGAGGCCATGTGGCCAAATGACGAAAGTGTCATCCACATATCTCTTCCACAGGGAAGGACGAAGGGTGGATGTCTGGATGGCGTCTGATTCAAATGTCTCCATGAAAACATTGGCTATCACTGGTGACAAGGGGGAACCCATAGGGGTACCCTCATTTTGTTTGTAGAAGGTGCCATTCCAGGTAAAGTAAGTGTTGGTGAGGCAGTGCCTAACCAGCGCAGGTACATCAGGGTTCAGTCCATGTTGGACCAAATCTTCAATTATTGTTATGGTATCAGCTACTGGGACCTTGGTGAACAGAGAGACCACATCAAAGCTGACGAGGATATCGTCAGGAGAGAGTACAATAAATTTGACCATAGAAACCATTTGGGTTGAGTTAAGTACTGCTGAGGTGGTCTTGCCAGTGAAGGGGAGCAGAGTATCCGACAGAAAACGGGCTAGCTTGTAGGTAGGGGAGTTGATTGTGGACACGATGTGGCCACTGTCATAATGGATAAAAACTCATACAACAACAAAATCCAGAACCTACTCAATGATGGGAGTTACTCAAAAATTAAAGTGATCCTACTAACAGCCTAACGATAAAAACCAAGAAGATCATCACTAGTTCAACTTCCCTAATCGAACCAATCAAACGTCCCTCCCTAAAACCCTCCGCTGCAAGACCTCCAAGATTCTATGGTCTTCCCAAGATCCATAAAGAAG